AATTAACAAAACTAAAAGGGGATTCAAACTTACACAGAAAGATAAAATCATCGAACTCCTAAACAAATGTAACTTAAATAATGCCAAAACCTGTGACACCCCTATGCAAACTGATTTTCTTAGAAACACTGATGAATCTTCCCCTGAGTTTAAAGACAACACATTTTACAGATCAGTTATAGGTTCACTCCTTTATATATCTAATTGGACTAGGCCAGATATTGCATTACCTCTCAATCTACTGTCAAGATATGTTAGTAAACCAACCTTGTATCATTGGGAAGCTGTCAAAAGAATTCTAAGATATCTGAAGAGTACATTAGATTTTTGTTTAATGTTGGAACCCAATAATGACAGAGAACCAAAAATTACTTGTTATGCTGATGCAGATTGGGCTGGTGATACATCATGCAGAAAGAGTACTTCTGGTTATGTTTTTCTATTGAATGATTGTCCAGTTTACTGGTATACTGGTAAACAAGAACTAGTAGCCACTTCTACTACAGAAGCGGAATATGTTTGTTTGTCCAAGGCTGCAAATAACCTTGTATGGTTCAATGATCTGATCACTGATGTTTGGAAGAAACCCACTTTACCATTTATTATGCATGAAGACAATAAAGCGGCCATTGAAATATCCAGATCCGATGCAATTGGACAAAGGTCCAGGCATATTGATATAAAGTTTAAGCATGTGAGACAACTGTCTCAAGACGGATTCATTAAAGCAATACATTGCGATACTTCTGAACAATTAGCTGACATATTAACAAAACCCTTACCTTCTAAGCAACACAAATATTTAACTTCTAAATTATATGTATTATATTGTCCTGAATCAGAATGTAATTGGTGTTGTGTAACGAACCGGCATTTAGAGGGGGATTTGTCAGATGTAAATGCCTTATTCTCCAATGTGTAAATAATGTATATATGGAACATCAGAGGTTAACTTATTCTTTGGACTTTAATGTATTCATAACTTACCACTCCCATTCCTAGCTCCACCCCTTGTATATATAAGGAGCCACCCTCACCATTCTTGCTGCTTCTACCTTGAATATTCAGTGAATATAGAATGCCTATCATAATTAAAAAGAAATATATTTAAAGCTCTAACTCCTATTATTTTTATTGAGTCTGATCCTGAAAATATTGCAACAGAAATCTTTCAACAAAAATTAATTAAAGAAGCTTTTGTGGACTATTATACCAAACTATATGCCAAAGAGGAGGTGCAGAATGGACTTATAGAAAAATATTTAAACGATAAAAGAGTTACAAAAATTACTGATCAACAAAAGGAAAGAATGAATTATCCTATAACAGAGGAGGAGATAATAGTAGCAATTAAACAGTTAAAAACAGCCAAAGCTCCTGGCACGGATGGTTTGACCGCAGTGTATTACAAAACTTTGCAAGCTGAAATGGTGGGACAACTCAGAGATCTATTTTGCAATATTCAACAAGGGGGTAAAATACCCCCATCATGGACAACTGCTTAATATCTTTGATACCAAAAGAACAAGTCGGTCCTAAAAAACCAGAGAACTATAGACCAATATCTCTTTTGAATACAGATTATAAAATCTATGCGAAAGTATTAGCCAACAGGTTGATGCCAGTAATCCAAAAGGTGATTCATGATGATCAAGCGGGATTTATCGAGGGCAGACACATGAAGGATAATGTAAGGCAAGTAATAGATTTATTGGAATATCTTGAGAAGAATAAACAGATTCCTGCAGTGCTAGTCTTTTTGGATGCAGAGAAGGCCTTTGATAGAGTGGATTGGAATTTTCTACTAAAGACTTTAAAAAAGATGGATTTTGGGGATCAATTTACACAGGCGATTTCAGCAATTTACCAAGAGCAAAAGGCACAGATCATTATTAATGGAAGTTTGACAACAGAGTTTAAAATTGAAAAAGGAACAAGACAGGGATGTCCATTGTCCCCACTTTTATTTATGCTAACATTAGAAGTCTTGTTAAATACAACACGGGACTCTAATATCTTGAAAGGCATAATGATTAGGCAAGAGGATTATAGAATAAAGGCATTTGCAGATGATCTGGTTGTTACCCTATCACAACCAATGGAATCAATAATCTTGATGAAGGACATTATTCAAGACTATGGTAAAGTTTCAGGTTTTAGACTGAATCCAAAAAAGACTAAAATGATAGCTAAAAACATGACACAAGATCGTAAACATGAGCTAGAAAGGAGGGCAGGTTTTGAGACTGTACCTAAGGTAAAATATCTAGGAGTCCAGGTTGCAGAATCAAACATGAAATTGTTTCAAAATAATTATGAGGTGTTGTGGCGAGAGGTGCAGAAAGATATGGAGACTTGGAAAAAACTGCAGCTGTCTCTACTTGGAAGAATAGCAGCAGTTAAGATGAACATTTTGCCAAGATTTCTTTTTTTGTTTCAAATGATTCCGGTGCTTAAAAGTGATAAACAATTGAAAGTCTGGCAAACTGGAGTGAATAAGTTTGTCTGGAACGACAAAAAGCTGAGAGTGAAATTGAAAATTATGTAAGATGTTCCAGAAAGAGGAGGTCTTAAACTTCCAAACCTACAGTTATATTATGATGCAGCAGCTTTAACTTTAACAAGTTGGTTTGGAAGGAAAAAGACTGGAATATTGAATGCAGAGAGTTTTGATCTCGAATTTGGATGGCATGCTTACTTATTTTATGATGACAAAGTTGATAAAGTATTTAAAAGTCATATACTTAGAGACTCTTTGATGAGAGTTTGGAAGAAGCACCGATTCAAATGGGATTATAAAATACCGCTATGGCTGGATCTTGGTCATATTTTGTGGAATACAAATATAATGTCACTCGGGGGGGGGTTTTATACAAAGAGGTTCTTTTTACAGATGCGGGCAGATGGCAGCTGAAGACATTGCAGACACTGTTGGACGAAGGGATTAATCTAACGTGGTTACAATATAATCAATTACAATTGAGATGGAAAGAGGACCAAAAAAACTGGTATTATGTTGCACGAAGAAGAATTGGTTAGACATATAAGGGAGAAAGGTCCAATGCATATCAAAAGGCTTTATAATGTTTTGTTAGAAAGGGATTCAGAAACCGAATTAGTTAAAGATGTTTTGAAGAAAAAAATTCAATTCTCCCCACAATTGTTTTTATTGGGTATAGTTAAGGGTTTTACATCAGGTGAAACAAAATTGATATTGTATATGATAACAGCAGCAAGATTGTTGATAGGTAAATATTGGAAAAATGAAGCTTTGCCCACTATTGAAGAATGGACTTTGAAGATGGCCAGTTTCGCAGAGATGGCGAAGATTTCAGCATACTTAAAAGATTGCTCACAAGAGACTTATGAATGGGAATGGAAAAGGTGGATAGAATATGTTCAGAACAAATATCAAACTAGAAAGTATCAAATAGCTTTTATTTGAAAATAATATATTAGAAATATTTTAATGAAATGAGGTAAAAAGAAAAATTATACAGGGGAGGGAGGGGTTCAAGTTTACACATAAGTGTCATTCTAAGGGGTTTTTTTTGGTGTGTGTTTTTTTTTTTTACCAGTTATGAGTATATTATAGGGAAGTCTGGGGGGAGGGGAGGGTTAGGGAGGTTGGGAAGTTTGGGGGGGGGGAGGTGGGGGGGGGAAAAGGGGTGAAAATGTAATTGTAAAACTTTTGCAATAAAAAAAAATCTTCTTTGATTTTTTTGATATTTTGATTCATTATGGACAAAGGATTTAAAGATCTAATGGAAAAAATGGAAAATACTATACAAGGGATGATGATTATAGACCAAGATGCCTAGGAAAAAGAGGAGTTAAAAGAAGAAATAAAGAAGGAAGAAGACAAGGAGGAGGTTATAATGGAAATAATAATGATGGATGAATTAAACCAGGGGGCAAATATATTAAAAGAGTTGGAAGATATATTTGAAATGGAAGCAGGGGCCTCAGTTAAAATCTTAGGAAATAGGCAGTGGAAGAGGGTAGGGATGGAAGGAATACTTAGATGGGACATTCAAGAAATACTGTAGAAATAGATGGAGACTTGAAGAATGGGGGAGACAAGCCAAAAAAAAAAAAGGATAACAATTGAAGTATCAAAATGGGCAAGAGATGATGGGTAGAGAATTTCTTTTTCTTTATGGCTGCTTTGACTTGCTTTCCCCCTCACCTCTCTTTTTTTTAAAGCATAGAAATTAAAATATAAAGCGGGCAAAAGTATGAAGTTCCATTTTTTATAATCATTGTGTTTGATGGCGCATGTTGTTTCCAATTTTGGGCAAATGAGATTCTGGCTGTGGTGATTATATGGAGCGTGAGGTATTGAATTTCTTTACTCATCTTGCCTTTTATAAGGAAAGAAATAACTCTGGTTTCATGTTAATTTTTAGTTCAATAATTTCCTCCAACCACTTTTTAATTTTTAACCAGTATTGTCTGGTTTTGGGACATGTCCACCATATGTGGTAGTATGTCTCTTGCTGGTGGTTACATTTCCAGCAGTTTGGTGGGAGAAAAAGCATTTGAATATAGGGTGATATGATTAAAAGCTAGAGTAAGAGTTAGAAATAAAGGGAATATTAATGTATTACATTTTTAGTTGACAAAATGGAAATAATAAAGAGAACTAGGTGGAATAATTGAATAATGATAGATTGTAACCTAAGATAGATGTGTATTGTAATGGGAATTTCATAAATTAATTGAATGTAATAATAATCCTTAATTTGATCAGATTTTTTGTGTTGGAATGCATAGTGCCCAGATGCCACACTGTTCACATGCATTGATTTGATTTTTTTTAAAAAAATAAAATAAAAAACTTTTTTCAAAAAAAAGAGAAGAGATTGGACAGCCATTTTGGCAAAGTCCATTGTCCAGAATGAGCAGGGGGTTGGACTCAAAGACCTCAAAGGTACCTTCCAACTCTGTTATTCTCTTATTCTGTTATTGAAGGACTGCTTCCCTCTGGAGTCACCCACCTTCCTGAGAGGAGAAGGTCCCTTCTGCACAGGGAACGCAGTTGTAGCAGCAGATGGGCTTCCCTTCCTGGCTTTCCCTGAAGTATCCAGACTGACAACTTTCCACACACCTGGAGGGAGGCAGATTCTGAGTGGAAAAAAGCCAGAACATAAATGTTAGAGTTGACATCAAAGGAAAGGAAGAGTAGAGCCAGGCCAAACTCTATTTAAGCCTCTAACAAAGATTAGGTCCATTTAATGGAAACAACAGTTTATCCAGGGAATCTCCCTTCTGTGAGATCGGAGCTAGGAGATTTTCTTCTTTTTTGCCTCCAGACTGTGGAATAATTTGCAGTTGGAGATTATTGTATATTTGCCTCAACTTTGTTGCCCTTTGAGAGAAATAATAAAATTGAAAATTAAAAATCCTTTTTAAGAGCCACTATAGCATCTTGGGGAATGTTTATTCTAATACCTGTGTTTTATTTTTGTAAAAAGACATGAGTCACATGGTCATGTTAGTCTGAACTTGCAAAAAGAGAAACAAACAAACTATGTCTTCCAGTGAATCTGCTGCTTCAGGTTGTTTTGCATGTTTGTCTATTGTTTATTATCAGTTGTAGTCTGCAGGTATCTTGGGACAGATCTAGGACAACTCGCCGTGACCAACTCAACATGGCTAACTCACTGCAGCCAACTTGCCGTGAAACAAGAGTTCCACCATTTCTTTGAGATTAGCGTAATAGAATCATTAAAGAAAGGACACAAAAGGAGCAGCAAAAGGAAAGGCGAATGACAAGAATTAAAATATTTTAAAATTATTTTAAATAATTAAATTGAATTGTTGAATTGTCCTGTGGTTAGTTGTCCCTTGGTGAGTTGGCCATCGCAAGTTGGTTCTGGAGGCAAGTTGGCTGAGACAAGATGGCCGTGGTGACTTGTCCCATTCCATCTTGAGACTGGTCCACATTTGTAAGACACACCAATTATAGAAAGTGCTATGAAAATAAGAACAAAATGTTCAGCGAATCCAAACTCTCTGAATCAGGCACATTAATGGAATATGTCAACCACAAGGGTTGGGTGAGGCTCTTTGCAACTCTTCTGAAATCTTGAAGGGTTTCAGGGACTTCAAAGAAACTGTGTTAAAGAGATGACAAGGCTGAAGGGGTAAAATAGGAATGAAATAGTTTTCCCCACCTTGTTAAACCTTTGGGGCCAGAGAGCAGCATGTTGGTCAATGACAAAGATGGGTTCCTGGGAACTCTGTCTTGCGTAACTCCCAAATTTCACTCTGGCTACAGACTTGTTGGGAAACCATAACCAGTTCACAATGTCAAAATCAGCTGCCAGCTCCCCATTCTTGCCCAGATACACCCCGTCCATGGAATTGTTGTAAAACTGAGCGGTTTGCAGGAAAGGGTGAAACTAGAAAGGTAAACACAGTGAGATCAACAAGAAAAATCCTGAAGCATTTTATAGAAGAAAGAATCGATCTCCAGGGGATCATTCCCAAGTTTGGGTTCTCCAGTCCACTAGAAACACCATGTTCAAGGAAGAACATGGACATGCTCTCTTTTTCAACTTTCCAGACAACTGATTAATTGTTTTCTATTCAAATAACTATGAAACATTACTGTCTGGAGAAATCCAATTTTCCTCTTGAGTACTTTTTCCAATATGTATTACGAGATGTGGAAGTTAAACCCCTTTGATGGATACCTTCTCACTGTTGTACATTTGCCTCCAAAATGAAAACTACTTCTAAAAGTAAAAAATGACCTCTATCTATACTTACAGTATTAAAATAATAAAAAATAAAGAAAATAAAGAAGAATAAAAATAAAGAAAATATAAACAATAAAATAACATAAACAGTAAAATAAATAAATAAATAAAATAAAATCCCGCAGGACTAATTTTAAAAGTAATTATTAGAATAGAATAGAGCTGGAAGGGACCTTGGAGGTCTTCTAGTCCAGCCCCCTTCTCAAGCAGGAAACCCAATATCCTATATTGAGCCATGGTGGTGTGATGGTTAGAACTCTGTACTGCAGGCAAATTCGCCGATTGCCAGCAATTTGATTCTGACCAGCTCAAGGCTGACTCAGCCTTCCATTCTTTTGAGGTCGGTAAAAATGAGGATCCAGATTGGATCCAGGGCAGTAGGCTGACTCTGTAAACCGCTTAAAGAGGGCTGTGAAGCATTATGAAATGGTATATAAGTCTAAGTGCTATTGCTATATCATTTCAGGGAAGTGGCTGTCCAGTCTCTTCTTAAAAGCCTCCAGTGATGAAGCACCTACAATTTCCGAAGGCAATCTGTTCCATTGGTTAATTGTTTTCACTATTTAGAAAGTTTCCCCTTAGTTCTAGGTTGCTTCTCTCCTTAATTAGTTTCCATTCATTTTTTCTTGTCTTGCCTTCTGGTGCTTTGGAAAATAATTTGATCCGGGGGTGAAATGCTCCCAGTTTGGACCAGATCGCCCGATCCGGTAGCGATGGCGGTGGGTGGTTCGGAGAACCGGTAGCAAAAATCCCTGCCCCCACCCCCCATGCCCAGCTGAGCCGCGGGATCATCAGAGGCTGGTTTTTTTTTTTACTTTTAAAAGTATTTTCTACAACCTCTTCGGCCGAAAAAAATGCTTTTAAAAGTAAAAAAAAAAGCCTTGCGCGGCTCAGCTGGTATCATCAGAGGCTTTTCAAAGCATTTTTTTCTGCAACCCCTTCGGCCAAAGAGGTTGTAGGAAAAAAAATGCCACATTGCCACATAGTGCATTCTAGGCATTGAGCACTCTGTTGCTGAAGTCAACGATGCCCTTGAAGTGATGTCCCGGTGCCTGGAGGCCATACGGATCTGGATGGGGAGAAACAGGCTCAGGCTTAACCCATCCAAGACCGAGTGGCTGTGGTTTCCGACATCCCGATATAGTCAGCTGGTGCCATCGCTGACTATTGGGAGCGAATCATTGGCCCCCACGGGAAGGGCTCGCAACTTGGGCGTCCTCCTGGATTCACGGCTGTCTTTAGAAGAGCACTTGACGGCCGTGACCGGGAGGATTTTTCATCAGGTTCGCCTGATCCGCCAGTTGCATCCCTTTCTAGATCGGGACTCCCTACACACAGTCACTCATGCCCTCGTCACCTCTCGTCTGGACTATTGTAACACTCTCTACATGGGGCTCCCCTTGAGGTGCACTCGGAGGCTCCAACTGGCGCAGAGTGCGGCTGCGCAGGTGGTTATGGGAGCGACGTGGTGTTTCCATGTAACAGCTCTCCTGCGTGAGCTGCACTGGCTTCTGGTGGTCTTCCGGGTGCACTTCAAGGTTTTGGTTATCACCTTTAAAGCGCTCCATGGCTTAGGACCTGGTTATTTATGGGACCGCCTGCTACCACCAATAGCCTCCCACCGGCCAGTACGCTCCCATAGAGAGGGGCTCCTCCGGGTGCCATCGGCCAAACAATGTCGACTGGCGGCCCCTAGGGGGAGAGCCTTCTCTGTGGGGGCACCTACGATCTGGAACGAGCTCTTCCCGGAGATACGGAAGATCCCGGATCTGCGCACCTTCTATCGCGTGCTCAAGACTTTCTTATTTCATCAAGCTGGCCTGGCCTAAATCTTCTCCTCTTTTAAATGTAAATTTTAATTTGTTTTTAAATTATTGGGTATTTTAAATTTGTCTCAGCCAAATTATTTAATTCATTTTTATTCTATTTTAAATTTTTGTATTTATGTGTTTTATTCTGTGGCTGTTCACCGCCCTGAGTCCTTCAGGAGTAGGGTGGTATAGAAATCCAATAAAATAAATAAATAAAATAAATAAATATTTTCTGCAATTGAGTTTGGAGTGACTTACCTTGAATTTGTATCTTTTCTTTTTTTTTTCTTTTAATTTGATTTATATGCTGCCCTTCTCTGAAGACTCAGGGCGGCTTACAATGTGCTCAGCAATAGCCTTCATCCTTTTGTATATTTTTATACAAAGTCAGCTTATTGCCCCCACAAACTGGGTCCTCATTTTACCTACCTTAGAAAGGATGGAAGGCTGAGTCAACCTTGAGCCTTGGCGAGATTCGAACCCTGCAGTAATTGCAGGCAGCTGGTCTTAATAACCAGCTTAATAACAGGGTGCCTTAAACCCCTGTACTACCAAGGCTCTTGTATCTATTGTTTGCTTGTGTATTGTTGTGGTGGAAGCTGAAGTAGTCATTGACAGGTAGGTCGGACATTGTAGGACATTGTATTATTACATAATAATCTAATCATTATGTTCAGCAGAGATTTGATTGATAGAATAGCAAATACCTGCCAAGGCTGCATCCTTTTCTGTTCCATGGTTTTTTCCATTTTCTTTCAGGATCCTCCGTTTAAATATGGAGACCAAGGCAGCACTTAGGGCTTGTGCCACAGCCCAGAAGGAGTTGTAAATGTAATAGCTTTCCAGAGAAAGGCTGGCTTCCATCTCCTTCTGCTTTAGACTTTCCCTTTTTTCATTCTCCCTGCATCTCAACCAGCCTTTAATGGAGACAGCATGTTTTTCAAATGAACACGGAAAAGCTTTGTCGCCAAATTCCAAGATTGAAGGAAAAAATTGATCAGCGTCATCCTTTATCCATTTCTTAGCCTGGATGGAAATGGTGAAAATACTGTGAACACGTTGGAAATCTTGATACCACATATTAAAAGTGAGATCCCCCATGGCCGTCACAATCCAGACTTTCTCTAAGGGAGTCATTGAGACCTGCAGAATTTTGTCAATGAATTCCATCCCATAGAAATAGGAAGATTGCAACATCGTCTCTGCGTAATAAATAAATACATTGACTTGCTTCCATTTGAGATACAAATCCAGTGTTAGCGTATATTGATTGGTACTGAATCGTGATACGCTTTGTGAGAAAACAGCACAAATGCCATTTTGGGCAAGTAAAGGTCTTAAGGTTTTCACGAATGTTTCTCCGTTGTCTGATTCTGGAGTGACGAGAGCCACTGAGGTCCATCTGAAATACTGGATCATTTTAACAATCCCTGTGTATTGGATTCCTTCCTTTGGGAGCATCCGATAGAAAAAAGGGAACCGGGTTTTATCACTCAGGTCGTTCGAAACAAAAGCGTAAGAGATCTGCAGGAAATGGGAGGAATTGACAACGATCTGTAAAATGGTAGTGTATACTACAGTATATAATTTTTAAATGATGCTTATTATGCAGAAGTTCCAATCTTTTATAAGGAGCACATTTTTGTAACTTGAACCACAGTGAGAGTGAAAACTTCCACACTTACTTGTGGGATTTTGTAGATGCTGACCATGGTTGCAATATGGCGGGAGAGGTCAGAATCGGTCCCTTCAAGGACAGCCAGGAGATTTTCCTGTCTTCCACATTTGTAGTTTGGAACATTTGCCTCTCCAGTAGAAAGCAGGTCTAGCAAGGCTTCAGCATTCATCTCTGCATTGAAATGATTGTCAAGGACGTTGTAGCCCAGAGTGATGTTGGGTAAGATGAGGGGATTCCTGTTGATCTCATGGCTGGCGATCAAGAAGGACAAGAGGTACCAGATATGTAGTTTTCGATGCCTGAAAAATAGATTCAGTCACAACTTCTCATTTTTGCCTTGTTGCAGCAAACAGCCTGCTTTACTTTCATGTTTGTTTTCAGCATGGCTTGATTAGCACAAGGAAAAAAAAAAATCTGCTCCAGCAATTTACCTCTTTGCAGCAAGCAGCAGAGCACTGCGCAAAACAGCTGAGAGCAAATCAGCTGGGAGTCAGGAACCCGATCCAATCAACTTGTGCTAATTAGCCTGTGCTGAAGCTGAAAGGAGCTGTTTTTTCTTACTGTTTGCTTGAAAGGAGGTAACTGCTGTGAGGCAGAGGCCAAAGGGTGGGGGTCAGTGGGTGGGCGGAGCTACATTCAGTGTATAAGACACACCTAAATTTTCACCCCCTTTTAGGGGGGAAAAAGGTACATCTTATACTCTGAAAAATACAGTAATTAAGGAAGAAACATACAGGTAGACCTTGACTTACAACCATTAGTTTAGTGACTGTTCAAAGATACGATGACACTGAAAAAAGTGACTTATGACCGTTTTTCACACTTATAACATTGCAGCATCCCATTGCTCATGTGATCAAAATTCAGGTGCTTGGCAACTGGTACATATTTATGATGATTTAGTGTCCCGGAGTCTCATGATCTCTTTTTGTAACCTTCTGACAAACCAAGTCAATGATGAAACCAGATTCACTTAACAACCATGTTACTGACTTATGACCTGCAATCATTAACTTAATAACAGTGGCAAGAAAGGTTATAAAATGGAGGGGAAAACCTCATTTAACAATTGTCTTGTTTAGCAACAGAAATTTTGGTCTTAACTGTGATCATAAGTCGAGGACTACCTGTATGATAGGCCTGAATGATATTAGGTGGGATGGTACTCATGATTGGTGGAAAGGCTACAGACTTTGACCCATCTGTAAAAAGGAAGTGATAAGAACTTTAATGAACAGGTGAAATCACTGAGGCTGACCAGCCCCGGCTGGAGTTGGAACCCAAAATTATTCTTCTGACATCCCCAACTTCCACACTTATGGGAAGTGAGGACTTAAGGGACCAAAATGCCTAGGAAGAAGCATTTTGGACACAGAGGCACTCTTCAGATATTTTCAACAGCATATATATAATAAAAGATAAAGAGGAGTCGAAGTATCCTTCGAACCGATCGAAGGATAATTTGGGATACAATGAAGGCGTTCCTGAGAGGATTGGCAATGGCATACGAAGCACACAAAAACAAAGAAAAAAGAAAGATTCAGAGGACAATGCTGGAGGAATTGGAGAAAGCAGAGAAAGAAGTACAGCAGAACCCGGACAATGAGACAGCGAAAGAAAATTGGATGACTATTCGGCACAGAATAAACATAATTGATCAGGAAAAATTGGCGTATGAAATCAAACAAACTAAACAATACCATTTCGAAAATGCCAACAAACCGGGTAGATGGCTGTCCTATAGAATCAAAAAAGAAAAAGAGAAAGGGATCATTTACCAATTAGAAGACCAAGAGGGTCATATTATAAATAAGGAAGAAGAGAAATTAGAGACTATTCGCGAATACTACACCACCCTATATAAGGAAGAAGACATCCCCAAAGAAAAAGTAGAACAATATCTATCGGAAAAAGAGCTATCATTGATTGGGGAGGAAGAGAAAGAGATGCTAAATAAAGAAATCACAATGACAGAGTTAAAGACCATGATTTCCAAACTGGAAAAGAACAAATCACCGGACCCGGATGGATTCCCAGGGGAACTATATAAAAATTTAGATCTAGAGGATAACCTCCTACCAAAACTACTAGTCATTTATAATGAGGCCTTGATAAGATCCAAAATACCAGAATCATGGAGGGAGGCATATATAACACTTCTTCAAAAAGAAGGAACAGACGTAAAATTGATAAAGAATTATAGACCAATCTCCCTTCTTAACACTGACTACAAAATATATATGAGTATCATAGTGGAAAGGTTGAAGGTAATTTTAAATAAGATAATACACAGTGATCAAAATGGGTTCCTGCCAGGGAGACAAATAAGAAACAACACAAGGACAGTCTTAGATGTGCTAGAATACTATGAGGAACACCCTGACAAAGAAATGGCGCTGGTCTTTTTTGATGCCCAGAAGGCATTTGATAATTTGAACTGGGAGTTTATGAAGCAACAAATTAACAAAATGAGATTCGGACAAAAATTTGTGAATACAATTAGTGCGATCTATGAGAAACAAAGGGCTAACATCTTAGTGAATGGAGAATTAACAAAAACTTTCCAAATCAGAAAAGGGGTGAGACAGGGATGTCCCTTATCACCACTCTTGTTTATTCTAGCACTAGAAGTATTATTAAAGAGGATCAGAGAAAATGAGCAAATTAAGGGACTAAAAATTAGAAAGGAAATATATAAGACCCAAGCATTTGCGGATGATGTGGCACTTATTTATTTATTTATTTATTTGTTTGTTTCAATTTCTATACCGCCCTTCTCCAAATAGGACTCAGGGTGGTGAACAGCCAAAGTAAAAAACAGGACATACAAAATTTAAAAACAGTTTAAAATAATTAAATATTTTGGCCGTAAATTAAAACAATCCAATTTAAAATCAATTTAAAATTTAACTCAAGCCAGCCCAGCTAGTTGAAATAAATAGGTCTTCAGGGCCCGACGAAAAATCCGGAGGTCTGTTATTGTACGTATCTCTGGGGGGAGGTTGTTCCAGAGGGTGGGCGCCGCCACAGAGAAGGCTCTCCCCCTGGGGGTTGCCAGCCGACATTGTCTGGCGGACGGCACCCTGAGGAGGCCCACTCTGTGCGAGCGTACTGGCCGGTGGGAGGCTATTGGTGGTAGAAGGCGGTCTCGTAAATATCCCGGCCCTAAGCCATGGAGCGCTTTAAAGGTGGTCACCAACACCTTGAAGCGCACCCGGAAGACCACCGGGAGCCAGTGCAGCTCGCACAGGAGAGATGTCACATGGGAGCGCCTCGTTGCCCCCATAATCCCCCGCGCGGCCGCGTTCTGGACCAGCTGGAGCCTCCGGGTGCACCCCAGGGGGAGCCCCATGTAGAGAGCATTGCAGTAGTCCAGGCGGGAAGTGACGAGTGCCTGAGTGACTGTGCGTAGGGAGTCCCGATCTAGAAAGGGGCGCAACTGGCGTATCAGGCGAACCTGATAAAAAGCCCCCCTGGCCACGGCCGTCAAATGATCTTCTAAAGACAGCCGTGCGTCCAGGAGGACGCCCAAGTTACGAGCCCTCTCCGTGGGGGCGAGTGATTCACCCCCAATAGCCAGCGATGGCATCAGCTGGCTATATTGGGACGCCGGAAGCCACAGCCACTCGGTCTTGGAGGGGTTGAGTCGGAGCCTGTTTCTCCCCATCCAGGCCCGCATGGCCTCCAGGCACTGGGATATCACTTCAAGGGCATCGTTGGGGTGGCCTGGGGTGGAGATGTACAGCTGGGTGTCATCAGCGTACTGATGGAACTCCACCCCGAAGCCACGGATGATCTCACCCAGCGGCTTTACATAAATGTTGAACAGAAGGGGCGAGAGGACCGACCCTTGTGGCACCCCACAAGCAAGGTGCCTCGGGGTCGACCGCTGGCCCCTGTCAACACAGATTGCGACCGGTCAGAGAGGTAGGAGGAGAACCACCGCAGAATGGTGCCCCCCACTCCCAACCCCGCCAGCCGGTGCAACATGATACCATGGTCGATGGTATCAAAAGCCGCTGAGAGGTCTAACAGGACCAGGATAGAGGAGCAACCCCTATCCCGAGCCCTCCAGAG